AGTGGCAGGAAAACTAATATGTTTTCCAGGCACTGGAGAGTCCCTTTAACCTTGCAATGAAAACATTGCAGTTTCTCTAAAACTGCAATATTTTCATCTGCAGTGTTAAGGAGACAGGGACATTGCACCCAGACCACTTCAATGAGATGAAATGGTCTGGGTGCCTATAGTGTCCCTTTAAGAGAAAACTGTGCTGTCCAAATTTCATTCATGCAGTCAGTGACTATGGAAACATGCCTGTCTTAGTTACAAAAGGAGATACACAGTTTATTTCACGTAGCAGCTGGCCTTTTAACTATTTCATGAACAAGCAGTCTTAAAGAAAGCACCTTTAAATAATCTTTTGCAGCTCAAGGTGTTTACTGTTATTCGTTTGTATGGATGCCTTATGCATTTAAGCCTGGTAATGATGTCAAGTAGATATATATATATATTTGTATACAATATTTTTTTATTAATATTACAAAGTTTGGATTGTAAATGTGTGGTCTTTACATTGTCTCTGACTATATAATACCTAAAGAACTGTGTGCTGTAACTAGAACTGTAACTAAGATCAGATGTGATCCCAAGGTATCTTGTGTCTCTGTTTTTGTTCTTTCTTAATCCCCTAAATTGTACAGTACCGTGGTGTATGTTGGCACTTTATAAATACAAAATAACAATAGTTTGTCTGGAACACACATGAATTGAAAGTGAAGCATGTTATGCTAAAAAAGCTGAAAGGAAAACATAGCTGGCCTCTTTAAGCCTAAAATTAGAAATTCACTTGGAATCTCAAATTCACACGTTCGTAAATAACCCTAAGCATCCAATTTTCCATAAAATCTCAATGTCCCACACTGCACCAATCTACACTTGCAAGCAATGACGTAACCAGAAATCACTGTGCCTTCCCCTATCTAGAGCCTGACTCCACCCTCACCAATTGGCAAGGCTTCTGATTGTGAGCTCACTGGGCAGGAGGGGCCGGGGACCTGTGACGTAGCTGTCAGCTGTTGAAGCCTCAAGATTGAGCAGTGAGATGAACCGGCAGAGCCACCACTGTATACAGCACTGTGCACCTACCTCAGGCTGGGCTTCTGTTTACTGACTTGGACATTGTATCTGTATACAGTGACTACTGCAGAATAAGGTAAGGTTCCACTTATTTTCTCTGTCTTTGTAGTTTGTAAGAAAATGGTGACATAGCGTAAACATGCCATTTTATACCGTACAGTGCATTTGTGTTTTTGTGTGCATTACAAAACCAGATCAGAATATCCATCCGTCTGTCTGTCTGTCTACAAAGAGCACGTAACACAGTATTAGTCTTATAGATTTTGTATTTATTCACATATTAGACATTAGTTCTATGCTTGTTTCATGTGTTACATTTTATATTTTTATGCAGAGAAATCTGTATGTCTACCTTCGGTGCACGTGGACACGTGTAGATTTGTAGGGTTAATTCCGCGCGTGATGTCATCTCCCCGGCGCTGTTAAGGTTACGTGATTGCTCGTATTAACTATTCTCTTTCCAGTGGAAGCGCAGTGTGTGAAATATCTGAGATCCACTGTTATGAATCCACAAATGCTGGTGTCCTCCTTTTGGTATTTAAACACCTTTTGTGGCAAGGGTTAAATTGACAGGCACAGACATTTCCGTAACGTATAGCTCAGGTGTATTGTTAACATTTTCTGTCTCTGGAGGCGTTTCATTCTAACCACCATCTCTACACCCCAGGTCGTGATCCCTCCAGGTGACTTATAATGTGTATATTTCTACCTGCAGTCTATTACATTAATTCTATAAACGAAAACCATGACCGATCCTAAGGGAGACACATTAAAGTGCTTCCCTGTAATCTGAGATTTGACCATTTCTTTTCTCTGCCTCTGTTTGCAGGGGTGCAGCTATACAGGGCCAGCTGATGGGTGCCAGAAAGGTCTAAAAGGCCTTCTGTCTCAGGGGTACTCTATTTATAAGACCTGGTACACTCAGAACTTGGTGGTCAGCATATGACCTCTTAGGGAACAATAGATCCAAGCCCTGGGGGAGGGGTGAGAGATACAGGATAGTGCATAGAGCTTTGCACACAGTACCTGCTGTAGACAGGTGATATAGACCACGACAGTCTCATCCTGTGTGATTCCATCCTATAAATACATATTTATTTTCTATGCCGTCTGCTCCTATTTCCTTTTCTTTCCACACAGTGTGTTAGCAATTCTATTTTAATACACTATAGCTCCCTGTTGTTCACTCCCTGCCATTCCTGTCCCTTCCTTTCATTCAAGTCTGTTTGTCCTCCTTTAATCATTCCCCTGTATCTCTAGTTCCCACATCTTCCTCCTTCTCCAGCTCGTAGCCCTCCCTCCTTCTCTATGTCCCTGTTCCTTTCTGTCTCTCTTCCCCTTTCTCTCCCTCCTGTCTCCATGGTTCCTCCTATTTTTCTTGTGCCTGATTAGGGTCTGCCCCTAATCCGTGTGTGTCCGTAGTTCAGTGTTTTATTTTCCCAATAACAAAATGTATATACTCAGCCTGTTACAGAACCTTGAATGAATTTGAAAGAACACAAAAATACTGGAGGCTTTAACAGTTTAGGATTGTGATTAGACCTGAAATTAATGGGACTGCTGTAGGCCTGCTTTGTCAGAAATCCCAATCTCTCGCCCCCTCCCCTTCTCCTCCAGGCTTGTCCCCACATCTATCAATATGCAAATACTTAATCCAGGTCTGGTACATACCCAGGATGCTGTAGGAAGGGGGTTGTGGTGTCATCTGGTGGAAAAAATGTGCCTGGGATTTCAGACCTTCTATGGATGTTAACATTACTGCCAGGTAATGTCCCTCAATTCTCTCCCTGCCCAAACCTAACCTTTCAAATGATTCTGTAAGGCAGGGCTTCACTTCCTTGCATAGTGTGCAAGATGAATATATAAATCCATGGAGATTAGCAGCTAGTAATGCCTCTCTTAGGTCTGTTCCATTCTAGCTTCCTAATGGCCCCCCAGTTTACATGTTCTAAATCCACTCTTTTCATGGACAATAGAATGAATCTAGGAAGTAGGTGAGTTACAGTATCTAGCACAATGTGCCAACGGGATTATACGGCTTATTGTATTCCTCAAACATTTAAAAGGAACAGATTCAGAGACTAAACTATGGCGCAATATAAAAAAAACAAAACAAAAAAAAACAGTGTAGAGTGACTTTGTGTAAATAAACTATGACTATACGGCTTAGAACATTGTACCTTTAATTTACCAGCCATCTCCTGGTCCACCCTATACATTATGTAAGGAAACCGCATCCTTTTTGTTTTTACTCTTCTACTTAATTACCTTACTCATCAGAGGCAAAGTGACAAGTGGAAATATCTGGTCCTTGTGCAATCAATATTTTGTTTCTTTACACCTTCCTTAACCCCAAAAAGTTTCTGCTGCGCTTGCTCTACACCAGTGCTTGAAATCAACCAATAGTCTATGTCCTGTCAGTGTCCAATGGAAATAGATTGGGAATTCCTAAATCATGGACGGTTGGTGTACTTTGAGGACTGGGGCTATAAAGCATCCCTAGTGAAGGCTGTTATGATTACTAAAGCTTCCCTTATTGATACATATAACCACACCAGAAGCTTCATAATCAATATATTTTAATACCCCCTATTGATCAATAGATCTCCCATAGGTCCATAAAATCGGAGCACCCATTCCCAAAATGAATAATTTTACTCTCTTATTAATCATTATACTTTATATCATATATGCTTTCTACTGCTATATTACACTTCCTCATGTCTAATACTATTCCTTATAAATCCCCGGTGGAAGAGAGTTTATGGTAAGAATATGTCGATCAATGGGAGGGATTTAATTGGGAAATACAGTAATAAAATATATTTTACATAATGCAAGTACAAAACATCTAACTATATTTGATATTTTGCCTGTGCATCCTCTTTGATTTTGTACAACACTGCAATATGTTCCCTGCCTCAGTAAAATATATAGGGCATTAAGGGATCACCCCTCCTGCTTTGCAAATAGACAGATCTGATGACGAGCGCCTAATTTGCATATGACATTGAACGTCACGCTCTCCCTGTCTGTCCTCCACTGAACTGCCAAGATTTGTCAACCACTCACTGCAATCCTAAATAAAGCTGTTTAACTCTAAACACCCTTCTCTGCTGGACCACTTCACTGGCACCTACATCTCCTTCGTCGATTTCCGGATCAACGGCAAAACCCCTTTACACATTATCTCCGCCAGTTGCACTGGAATGTCTGAAGCTTTTAGCAAGATGATAATGCCTTTTTTTTCTCATTCCTCAACTATTTTGCAAACCGTTTTACTCCATTTGTTTTGTTTTTTTCATGTTTTATCCCAAATTTATTTCGATGTATATAGCAGGTGTGTTTGGATTATTGACAATATATTTTATATTTAAGCAGCTGTAGAGTGGTCAGATTGTTTTTTTGGATTTTGTGCACTTGTTACCTGGAACTCGTATATTACATTGTATTCCCAAGATTGCAGAGAATCCGTAACAAGAAGGCTGCCTACCAGAATGTATATATTGAATATATATTGTGTTTTGTACCTGAATGAAGTCCATTATTGCTTATCTGCTTAATTTTCTTTTCATATGTTTTGTTGTAGTCTTGTAAAAATAGTATCTTGGTTGATAGGAGTAATCCGTCAGCCGTGTATGTGTATGTTGCATGGTGTGCGCTAATGTCATTACCAAATGCTCTGTCTGTTAGATTGCTGCTGTTTGGGTGGATACAGCTATCACTAGCCTGTCATTGTGAATTGTGACAGCTTGTGTTCAGTGAGTAACTGTTTATTCTATGCTTCCATTGTTAGAATGAAAAAAAAAATGACATATGCATGTGCGATAGATATGGCTGACTTATGGAGCACACAAAGAAAGGTTAGGGAATAACATTGTTAAATTGATGTCATGACCTAATTTATGGGCATACATGTTATTGTCTTTTGTAGCATGAAAGGACGTTCACTGTATTAGGATTGAAAAATATCTAGCCCTGAGCACTGAGTGAGCTCTGCAACTGGTGCTTTCATTTTCCCAGGTTGTGGGTTTGGAACTTCCATAGTCGAAATCAGACCTGTTACAGGACAGTCTATACTACTGTACTGCTAATTCAAGAAACAGACATATTTTAATTAAGATGGGGGAGGCTTTTTTTTCTTCTCTGTTCAATGGTCACTGAAAGTGAAAATCCCCGGGTCCTTCACAAAACTTAAATTTGAGCAGATCTTTGTTCTTCCACAAAGTCTGCCTGTGTTTTGCACCTACATAACAGGCAAAACGGCTTTTACTTTAAGAAGTGCTTTTAGGATTTTCTCAATGTATATAGTCTAGAATAAAATTAAATGAACACTCCAAGCACCGTAGCTACTCAAGAGTCCTGTATTGATAATGGTGCCCCCCAATGTACATCTTACCTGGCTTCAGTTAGGCACCACTCCCTGCCTCTCCTCTTTCTATATTGTGAGTAGGAAGTTCCTGCTTTCAGCCTGGCAGACCCCAAGTAGGAACTCAAACAGTTGGCACACGGTTTGACTACTTATATTGGAAGGGACCCAGGGCACTTGGTGTGTTCCTTTAAAGAGTCCCCAATAGCTGGGTTGTGACTGGGCTATAATAATATCCAAGGTTAATAATGAGACAGACATGCATAAATACCAACCCTAAGACATTATAAGAACTTGCAGCAGGACATCATCTCTTCTGTGCAGTTTAAGAATGCATTCTTGCTTCCATCAATTTTGTTTTGGACAAGACGTGCATGTCCTAACTGGTTGCCAGGCCTATTTGTGTACAGTCTACAGTTATTCTGGACTCTGCCTTGGTTTCTGTCTGCACCTGCACATATTTAAAAAAAAAAAAAAAAAAGATATGGACTCTTTATCTCATGCTTGCGCCTTTCTTCCTATGTAACCTAGCCAGCAAGCTATTCATATATTCAGCCTAGTAACAGATAAATCTAGTGCTGATAGCAAGACGTTCACAGACTCTTAATAAGTGTCACACCTTAGTACATAGTGTCCCGCACCTAATCTTATAACATCCAGGATTCCATGATTTGTTTCTAAATGTGGCTGAGAACAACATGCCCAGCATGAGTTGTTTGGAGGCATCCGACACAATTTTCCCTTGGTTGGGGAATTAAGAGCAGAAGGGGTGGGGAAGACTAAGAATATTTGACACTTTAAAAATAACTTCTCATAAACAATTTACAGTGGAACAGCAATCCTCTTTCTTAGGATGTCTGGGGCGTTTAAATCTTGAGATTTTGTGAGTAGATATCAATGGAAATTATTTTTAAAGTGGCATAGATGCCCTCGGCCTACACAACATCTAAAATCATTCCCATGTTCAAGGATATGAGGTGACCTTTTGAAGGTCATTGGTTCTTTAGCAACAAAAATCTTTCTGAACTTGCTGTCGTATTTATACTAATATGTTTGAAGGATGCGGGTATGTGTATCTTAATATACATTTATTGATACAATACTTGCAGTAATGTGACACTGGCCTGTCTGTTTGTGACATACCAACAGACAGCGACACAACAAACCACCCTGTCTGTATGTAATATGATCTGTTATATACACTGTTAAACAAGTGAATAAAAATAAAATGGATTTAAAAAACAAACATAATACGCTATTTACTCTAATGCGCACTTTTTGTGCAAAATAAAGTATCCAACATTTGAATATGCATTAGATTTAATGTGGCATTACATTCGGGGCAAAATTTGCGATTTTCCTGGAATATTGCATTCCGACTAATTCAAGCATGCGAATTCAGATTGATGAATTCTAACAGATGAATTCAAACTGGTGAATTCACACAGGCGAACTTCGTTCCTGAAAGAGGGCTTACGAAAGTATAGACTTAACTTATAACACTAAAATTGAAAGAGGCAGTGCCTGTCAGCAGGGCCACTGAACACAGGTGCGAGGATAAGCAGGTGGGGCCTGCAGAACAAAATGTATTGACAGTCTGGGATGACCCCCCTGTGGTCATCTCTGTTGCAATGCGTCATAATCAAGACCCTCGTATTAGTTTATTCTGGGAGGACATGGGGAGATCAGGCCTAATATCTTGACTAAACTTGCAGCAATTCAAACAATATTGAGTGCAGGGTATACCACAGTGCTACTTTTCCCAAGAATATTGTGTAGTGTTAGTCAGAATTGGCCTTGGATAGTGGTGGGTTGAGCAGATTGTATGCCCTCAGGCCGGAGCCGCTGAAGATGGCATCCATGCAGCTCAACTCCATGATTAAAAATTTGTATTTCTCATGACAATTCTTCACAAATGCCAACTTGAATATGAATAACAGAACACACGTCTATGAAACGTAGATGTTTAGAAATGGTCAAATAGACTGGCTTTGATTAGAGTTGCAGTCCATCAAATAGCTTCTCAGTAGAGGGTCACCTAACCCAATAAGGACCAATAACATCTCAGATTTAGTTAGCAGGAATTTGCTTAGTGCTGGCCATGAAGGGGTTAACCCTTGCCACACTGTTTACATGTGTCATAGACAGTATCATCAGGAGGTGATTGCATGCTATTTCTGTGAGAGGCAGCAAGCACTGCTATGTCTGTGTATTTGTTTGACGTCTGACGTGTGCTCACCTTACAGAAGCACAGTGACCCAAACAGCCAGAGGCTCTTTAGGATCAAATTAACATCGTTCACCAAATATTAACCCATATATATGTGCTTAGGAATCACTTATGGGAAATAGCAACAGCACTCACCCATTTCATGATAAATAAACATGGGCAGCCTGGGGGAGGTGTTGTTTAAAGGGACAGTAATAGAAAATAGTTCCACTAACCTCTAAATAGGTATTCACAAAAATATTTTTTCCCCCTTGGAAATAGTAAATAACCGACCAGACAAGAATTAAAACAATTGGGCCAAATGTGCTGCAAACCCCTTTTCAATTATCCACAGTTGCTTAATACACATCTTTGTATGTTGAGTCCCTACAGGGAGTGTCAGGTCCCCAAGCTCCCTGCATAAAACCCACCAGAAATATATTAGGGAGGGAAATGTATAAACAGTCCTAGGCATTAAGAAGATTACCCAATCTTGCCCTGAATACACAATCGCTCAATCTGAAACTGGCATTATGTGGGTCAGAAGGGCGTAATGCAGATGGCGAGAGATGACAGTTTGGGTGTTGCTGTGTTTTGTGTGTCTATACTTAACTTTTATAGTCACATTTACATTTGTATATATGCACAGTTACACTGAAGCTGATTTTCTTTTTAAATTTATTGTATATATTTTGGTTCCTGAAAAAATAAATCCAAGGCTTATAAAAATGTATGAGTGTGAATTTAATACATACCCCCAGTTACAGTGTTTTCTGCCATGGCATCACATGGTTAATGTTGGCTTGGCCTGGGTCATTAGGCATGCACTAATCTCCCTGAAGGCTCAATACAGTATTAAATATGGAGAGAGAGGGAGAGGCTTGTGCTTTGTAAGAGTTAATCTGAAATGGAGGCAGGGACAGTTTAACCCTATATATACTCCTGAGACATGGGTAAAAGGTAAATGCCTAAACAGCTTTTAGAGCTGGACAGGGGTTACTTACAACTGCACACCTCCCCCTTCGGTACGATGACTCCAGCCCCTTAATGTGATCTCTGATGAGGAGGGTTTTTTTTTTTTTTTTTTTCTTAAAAAACATTTCGCAGAAACATAGATCATGAGTTCAGGACAGAACAATGTGTCTCAACAACTGTGTCATTCTGCCATTTATCTCAATGTTCACGCTTGTTTGTTCTCCAAGCTTTACACAGACCACAGCCTTATAATTTCTGCAACATTTGTCTCAACAGCTTTTACTGGATGGTCATTCCTGGTGCCTTTCACTTTACTTGCATTTCTGTAGCATAGTGCTTTTCGGGGGATCAGCACATCCAGTCATCTAATTAGCGAAGACACTCATTCCCCAGAAACACACAGCCGAATGTTCCTTGTGCTTAAATACATTACATTTTGCTGAAACGTTTTTTTTTTCAACGTGACTGTAATTATTTCTATCTCACACCTTAACCCTTTGTGCTACTGACAACCTTCTCACATTAGCCCAGAAGTACTCTGTTCACTTGCCTTACTCGCAAATGAAACAAGCGTACTTTCTGCTAGCCCCAGACATGGAATAGCGGCCATTGTGGCTACAGAAGTGAAATACATTGTACTCTTCCCACTATTTACTAAAAGTGTTGCAGTTACTAAAATGTTCTTTCTATAAATCTGTTTCAAACAATCCAGACAGATTAATAAAATTCTCCTTTAAGCAAACTTTACCAAGTATGGCCTTAAATATTATTTGAAGGTCTCACAGCGTTTTAGTATGGGGGCAGCCATCTTGGAATTGCATTATAATTATCAGACATACAGTGCCCCTTACTTTGCCCAGACCCCCAAAAAATGACAAAGACCCTTGAGGTGACATGCCTTCATAGTGTGTGGCAGCCTGAAGCTCTGACCCAGCTATTCTTGTGTCATCCATTTTCAGTTCCTGTTGCTACAACTGCCAGGAACTGCCCCATTGCCGTACTGTAACACATGCACAAAACTACAGGGTCTATAGAAGCTATTTTTGTGGGCATTGACAAACCTTTATTGCAGAAGTTTTGTCAACCTCACACTGGCCCACAATATAAAATAGTCAGCGATAGCTTTTGATTGCGTTGGAATTTTAATGAGATTTCACAAGTCAATATTAATATTATGTATAAAGCCCCAACAAGACAAGTTGGTTATACAGGAACAGAATGTTTTATGTTTATTTTGTAAAGATTATATCTTTATGAAATACTCAGAAGTCACAGAGACATTTTAACCACTTTTGGCCATTTAACTTTATAAATATGCCATGCCATTTAAAGGGGAACCGTTAACTCCCAATAATTTTAATATTGTTTTTACTTATCCTCTATGTATTATATATATACAAAGTATAAATTTCATAGCTGGATTAAGGTACCTCAGAGCCCTAGACATGGTGGCATATTTGAACCCCTCCTAGAGCATTGGGCTCTATTTCCGTGAATTGTGTGTATTGAGTGTTGTGTGTAGTGTATAAGTATTTATGTGTGTAAGAGATGTGTGAGGGAAAGATGAGTTTATCTGTGTGTGCTGGGGAGTCTTAATGTGTGTGTGTGTGTGTACGTCCCCACACCCCTTTCCTGCTTACCTTCTCTGCTGTTCCAGTGGAGCGTGTGCAGGATCCATGATGGTGTAGAGGTGGGTGAGTCGGATACCTTGTGGTCTGGTAGGTGAGCTCCATCGTCCGTTTCAGATACTGCTTGCAGCAAGTCCAGCTCTCAGTCAGTGACTCAGACCACTGGCTGTGGCGCTTTGAGTCATCAAGTAGCTCTGGGGGTCCGCCAGGGCGGTAGTTTGTACCTGATAATGGTACCATAATGCTCCCTCAACAAAGTGAAAAAAGACCGGGCCCTGCAGGAGACTCTTCTGATTTCCTTGCCCACTCACAGAGGGCTGCTCCAGTGAAATACAGGGGCCCATCTTGGTCACCTAATGAGTGATAAATACATTGACACAATTCTGTCCTGAAACTGAGTACTTCCATTGTGGCTCTCTTTCAATCATTCTTAATACGTCTGGATTTAGCACCTGTCATTCTGAATCCAGAGAGGACGGAAAATATAAACCATGTCTCTGTTCTCCTCCCCCAATGCACTGAGTGCTCTGGTTATGCCTAGATGAACTGGATTATCAATGTCAATCGCTAAATCTTTAATATATGATTTGTAATGTTTTACCTAAAGGTGAAATTTTATGGAAAAGTGATGTTTCACCTTTAAGGGTTAAGCCAGGGGTGGACAGTCTCAAATTCCCATCCAAGAAATATCTGACCAAGGTTGCATTCCAGTAATGTCCTACTAAATGGCCAAACCCTGCACTTAGCTGGTTAATACAGTAGAGGAGTGGAGCAGTTCTGTGTTCCAAGAAATATACTGGTATAGCAAGCAGCTGTGCACTGGAGCAGACCTGACTCCAGGGGTGTAAACAAGCCCTACAGTCTAGATACTGTTACACCAGACAAGGGGGAAGAAGCTGCATGTTTTGGAGACGCTATATGTTGTGTATGTAAAAAGGGCTTACAGAGGCAGAATAAATAGGAGGGGGAAGGATCTTCCCTTCATTGGGAAACATGCTGTGAATCTCTGCTGCCTTTAAATAAACACTGTAAATATGTAAGAAAACTAGACAGGAAAATATGTTGTGCATTTACGATCCATCTTGTTTTGGTTTTACTTGCAGGGCTATTCTAACCAAGCCATACAGAAGCCTAATGTTTACAAATCCTACTGCTGGACTCTGCTGATCCCACCAGACGACACAGCCCCTTTGTTTACAACCGGCCACTTCCTTTCTAGTGGTTGCAACAGCCCAAGTAACCGTTAACCATGTTCCAGCGTTTCACCAGACTCTTCTTCAACGAGGGACCAGCCAGCGATCCCGAAGAACCAAAAGCCATTGTGGCAGATGAAGAGGATGATGGGTGGCTAATTATTGATATCAATGGTGAGCCCAAAAAAAAAAAATCTGTTTTCCATAGTTAGCAGCAACCCGTTGCACTACCTACCAAAACCCTTCCTCTGCAGGGACTTAACTTGCTGTGAACCGTATTTCCCTTTAAAACAGACTTATGTTACATCAATGATGTTGTCATATTCTGATAGAGCAGTGAACATTGCTTTTTATTTAATTATGATTTAACATTTGTATAACGTCAAAAACACACACGCTTAAAGTCTAAGCTCATATAAAATATATTAAAGTTTTGGTTAGGGATAACTTTTTATTTAGCCAGTGACATAGATACAGATGGTATCCCACTCACCACCACACGTGTGTCTTGCTTTATAAACCCAAGGCATTATGGGAGAATTAATCACCTGATTAACACACATACCTGCAGGTTCTGGAGGTGGCCTGGAAAATAAACAGATTAATATACTCACTTTAACAAAACTCAATGGTAATAGGCCAATTAATCATTGAACTGTTCTTGAAATGTCAAGAATCAAGAAATCCATGTTTCACTTAAAGGAACACTATAGCATTCGGGATACACACCTGTATTACTAACGCTATAGTGTTCCTGTCCCTAGTTCTATAGGTCCATCCAACCCACCCCCTGGGGAATAAAGGGTTAAACATACTTTTTTCCTTACCTTAATATCCAGCGGCAAAACGTCTTCAGCGCTGGTTACGTCTCCTCCCGCCGTGATGTCATGGCAGTAGCCGAACCCAATGCTCGTGATGTGCGTGCAGTAAAGCTCCCCCGTAGGAAAGAATTGAATCGAGGATTTCCCATGGGGAATTTGAAGACGTTTGTTGCAAAGCGCGAGGACGTCCAACGTCATTTCACATAGTAAAACTCCACTAGGAAGTGCCCTAGTGGCTGTCCAGAAGACAGCCACTAGAGGTGGACTTAACATTGCAGTGTATACATTGCGGTTTCTCTGTTTAACCCTGCAATGTGAAACATTGCTGTTTCAGACAGAACCACTGCACCCAGACCACTTCAATGAGATGAAGTGGTCTGGGTGCCTATAGTGTCTCTTTAATCCTATTCATTACGCTGTAATGAAAAGGGTTAATGGAAACAGGGAGTTACAGTTGCAGAGATTTTTGGAAAATACTAAAACTGTATGTTTACTCTCTGTTTGTGAAGCTACATTCTAGAAGAATCAATTTGTAGTTCTCTCTCATAGCTTCGAATTAATGAAAAGCCATGCTGTTTCCATAATTTCTTTCCCTGAACATTCTACTACTAGACCTGGCTTGGAGTTTATATTATGTGCACAGCACCAGGGTTGGCTGAGAATTTTTCAGATTTGCAGCAGACAGGAAATTCAAGGGAGAGAATTTTGTTCCTTTTTTTAATATGTACCTATTTACCTTCACCTTATAATGCATTTAATTCATATAGTAATTCATTAAAAAGTGTGATCTGTTCCAGCCTAGAGAATCCCTTTAATAAAACTTAAACCAAATAATACAAATGAAATATTGACAAACATAATAGATCTACGTCACTGCTTTATCAGAATATAACCATATCCCACGTATCATAGGTACACTTTTCAAAATGTTTGGACTTTAATTTGCACGTTTTCAGTTGCCATTCGGTTTGATAATATATGAAGATATGGAAATAATGCATTAACAGAGTAATGACAAATAACCATTGTCATTTCAAGTAACCCGTCATAATTACAAGCATGATATAGTAGGTGCACACAAACTACTAGAACCATAATCTGCTAGCACAAAATGGCTGCTTACAAGTGGCATCTTATTCTTTCATACATATACAAAAGTAGCCTGAAATGGCAGGTAGACTCAAGATACATCTTATATAGCTAATAATGCCTGTTTTATCCCTTGGGTATCTATCACTTTAAGGGTTTCTGAATCGTACCCCAGAGGTCAGTCTTAAATTAGCATTGGGCCAAGCATGACCCCTCCAAGACACTTGATATTGTGTTGAATAAGTAGGTGTCAAGGCTGCACATATGAAGATGTATTTAACCACGATTCTAGGCAGCCTGACTTTTTAAAGAGACTATTGCTTATACAGTTGTTCTATTGTCAGTCAGAACAGTAAATACTGAAGCAGCAAACTGGCCGTGTAAAGAGGATACGAATGTAAACAAGAGAGATAAGTTGCATAACAGACTGCGTTATTAATTATCCTTCCCCTTGTTTTACTGGTGTGATTAATAGAATGGTGGAAAATATCCACTCCCTCATTTTTTTTGAATGAGCAGTTTCTGTGCCATTACAGCAGCGAAGAGATGGTTACTATACCATTCCTCAGACTTCCTGAGTGTTTTGGGTCCTCATAGTTAAGTTTTTATATGGAAACTGATAAAACCTAAAGCATTGTGGGTTTATGAGGCACTGGTTAAGAAGTCAAAAAATTACAGGGTTCACAGACGCCATCACTAACCTAGGCAGATACAAGTTGCAGGTTATATTATGCTTGATTTGTGTAGATAGAATGACTAGACGACCCCCTTTATAAAAGGTACATATTGCAGCATAACACCGATACAATGCTAGTCTTTAGTGTGCAATAGAAATAGAAATAGTATTGGTAGATAAGACTTTTTGAACAATCCAATACATCCGTTTCCATCGGAGTCCTGTGAAAGGTGAGATTTTGTTCCATAACTTATAGCGACTTCTGTATATTTCAAACCCCTGGCAACTGTAAGAATACTGGGAAAGAGTACAGTTAAAGTAGAAAAGGGAATTGTCAAAACGTATAATAAATCTTTTAGATACAAACAGATGGGTAAGTCCATGCGGAAGGTCAACTGGTTCACATATAGACATTCTAACTCCTAAGTTCTCAGTCAATCCTGAAGGCTTGTCAATTTTGCAGGTTCCTAAAGTCTCCAGCTATGAACACAGGTGGGATTAGTAAATTTACTGTAATCCACCTGTGCTTTTATAGCGGGGATCTCAAACCTTGTGAAGTCTGTGATCTGAGAACTTAAGGCTTAGTGTTTTGTTTTTTTTCCAACTTTTGGACCTACTAATGTGCTGCTTTCTCTCTTGGCTGGAAATTTACAAAAATCCATATGTGAATGAAGGCATTAATAACCCCAAAGAGGTCAAATCATATTCTAAACTAATATCGCCTTCCTTATCATTTTTCCCATCCCACCCTTCTCCTTGGCAATGTATGCGTGTGGTCTTCCATCTTTTCTTTCTCCTATGGCATGGATTATTCCCTTCCTAATTGGACTCCTTCTCCATATCAGATAGCTATGCCTTGACCTTCAGTGAGGATGATGGGTCACGAGGGCCGGAGGATGAAAACCCTCCCAGCCCATTGCCCCACTCCCTAGCTGAGAGGATTGGCTGGTCCATCCCACCCCACCCACCCCACTCGATGGACGAGAGCTGGTTTGTTACCCCTCCCCCCTGTTTCACCGCAGAGAGTTCGGGCCACACCGAGGTTGGAAGTAGTCCATTGGAAGACCTGCTGATAGAGCATCCAAGCATGTCGGTGTATATTACCAGTGGAAGCATTGTGGTGGAACAAGACACTTCCGAAGTAATCAGAGACCGGTAAGAACAAAGCAAAACTGTGACCTGTCTATTGTAGTATATGTGCATATGGTTAAAAGAAGGCCCCTGTGTGTGTGTATGATTAATGTGTAAGAGTGTGTGTGTATGTATGTATGTATGTATGTATGCGTGTGTGTGTGTGTGTATATATATATATATATATATATATATATATATAAAAGGGGTTGAAGCTAATTTTTTTAACACTTTTTTTATTGTGAATTCTAAATACACATGTGTCAAGCATAGTTTCAGCTACAGGAAGTTTTGAAGCTAATTTTTTAAGTATTTTTAGCAAATGATGTAGACCTGCTTGCCATAGAACATAACATATTAAGTGTGTTCTGGATAAGAACTTAAAACCCACCTTCTTTCATGAGTCATAACATGGCTATAAAAAGCTACAATATAATCTGCCAGTTATGAATTGGAGGTGATGTCAATAATTAAAAAATATAATGTTAATTATTATTATTTTATTACTATTTATATAGCGCCAGCAAATGCCGTAGTTCTGTACAATGGAATGGTAGGGATTGTATGCTGTATTGTTTATGAAATGTAATTTCTATGAATTAAAGTAAAGGGAGTGATATGATGGCCTGGGGGTTAGACTGTTTCCAGTATTTTAATGGTTGGATTGTTCCCCAGTAATTAGCTGCCATAGACTTACAGCACAATAACCACTACACTTATCTGTAGGGGTTATGGTACTTACACTGCTACTTTAATCCATGAGTACACTGTTTAAATTACCATAGGAAATAGATTTTTTAAGGTAAATAAAAAAAACAAAAAAACTGCCGTATTAATGATGAGGGCAAGATACTGAAGTAAATAGAGCATCCATATGTATTACAGTTCAATATCGATGAATGGTAAACCATGGGCATCTGGTAAATTTCTCTAAAAATGAAATTGAGCAAAATCACCTCTCAGTAGCAATATATGCCGATGCACTTTTCAATTCTACAATTCTAAAGCAAATTGGTTGCAGGTCTAAAAAAATAGCTGTATGTTTTTCCAGCATTAGTCAGATGTTCTGTTTAGAGGTGGTCAATTTTGAAATTGCACCACAATATTTAGACTATCAGGCCAGGGATAATTGTCCATTTAGAAAATAAAAGCCTGATCCGGAGATATCTTTATACAAAAAAATTACGGGAAGGTTTGTTTCTCGCACACGTGATGCAGTATGTCCATAGGCTTTGAATTAAGCTGCTAAAGAATTTAAAAAGGTAGAGTGTAGTTGACCAAAAAACTTACAGGAAGTTCATATTGACCGAAATATTTTGGTTGGTTTGTATGTATGTGTTTGTTTGTTTTTAAAGGTAAACTAAGCCGTTTTCCTGGCACTATGGCTCCGTATTGTGCCCAAAGTCTGAAGTGGCTTGGGTGCCTACAGTATCCATTTAGTAAGAAAGTAAACAAAAAAAAACAAAAAAAGTTTTAAAAACATATGGTATAGAAAGTTTTTTTTATTTCAGTTCGGTTGTCTAATTTTAAGAATTAATGAAAAGTCATGAACATGCAACCAGAATTTCTGATGGCAGTCGCTTTAGCCGTACTGGAACAGACTGTCAAACAGTCATGTGAAGGAATCAAAACATAAACTAATGAATGTAAAAACTATACAGGCTAGTTGTGTGTTGAGATAAAAAAGACATCCTATTTTACAGTTTACTGGGAACGTTTTATGTATGCATGTATGAAGACGGCAGGATGTATGATCTGGCTTTGACAGTAAAAATATTGAGATCAAAGAAGCCAATTACTCATCATTTCATCTTTTCAGATCCCCATCCAAAACCAGAGTGGAGCGTCGCATACCTCATCACGCCACCTCAGTCTCTGCCAAATCTGCCATCTTGGGTAAAGTGGGTCAGATCACCCGTATCCAACGCGCCAAGGCAATGGTGGACAGGCGCAAACTTGGACGCAAGAGTTTGCAAAGGCAAAACATTGCAAAGCAGTTTCATGAACGCGCTAATGTGCGACAGCGCACCTTCTTGTGCCAACCACGGCAGCGCCAGAGCAACCACTAAACTTCTCCAGCTGTTTACATGACCGTGGGCATTATCTCTAACCAGAATTCCTGGATCACACTTCATTGGTTGGCATTACCATATCTTGCCTCTACATGCTATGTTCAAGGCTTCAATGTTTCACTCCCTTTACTTATTAATAAACACAGCTCCCTGATAGCAACACTGAAAATAAAATACTAAGAGATCCTCGTTTAGGTTATGAGACTCTTAAAATCCTTTTTGGTAGAAAACCTTGGACACCCAGCAGATAATTTGTTAGAATTAACAACTTCTCTAAACAGTACTGTATAACAGAACATATACCGGAAATTGACCATCTACAACCCCCAGCTACTGTTGAATTCAACTTCCACCCTTCTTTACAATGCAGCAGAAGGTTACGGGATATGGGAAGCTGCAATTGGGCAGTCTTGGTCTACTGCCAAAGGTTTATGTAGTATTATAAATCCTCATCAGTTGCACAGCTTTTTTTTCTCTAATCCAACCTGGTGGACCTGTCAGCCAGGCCGATCCTTGTCCTGTCCAGATATTTGAGGAAAACCTATACAGATGATGTGGCCTAAGGAACTGACCGATAACCCATTGTTCTTGAAGATTTGGGTGTATTTAATTTTTAAGAAATCTGCATTCCCTCAGCCCCCCAGTGACATCATCAATTGGTTTTCCATTGGAATTATCGAATGAGAATACTTGTGTACTGGGGTACAGTTAACAAGGGTACCTATCACTTTAACAGTGTGTTTATATTGAGCTTGTTGTTACGGAGCTATGTTGTCCTAGTATAACTGTAATCAAATGAATAATTCGATCAAGAATAAATAATTTGTGTACATAGTGCAGGCTTTTACATATCAATGGGTAGTGCAGACTTACAGCTCCAGTGCAACCACATGATGATGTCACCGATGGGCTAAGTGGAGACATTTTAAACCACTTTTTCCATATTTCTCTTAATGTTTGCTAGCACACTGCATATATTGTTTATAATTTACCCTTCCTCTCCATAATTTTCATCATTTGCCATGCCACATTTCCAAAATAATCTGGTTACCTCATGCCCTGTTGAGGACTAGTCTGAAAAAAGGCCTTTTGCAGTAACTTGGTAATAGGGCCACAAACGTACCCACCAGCACTGGTGTGTGTGTGTATGTATATGTGTTGCCATACATATATGTAAATGCACACACAATTTTTGTTTCTGTAACTGGTTAGCAGATCTTGTGTTTATTTTCTTCGAAGGATCAGATCCTTGTGTTTTTAAACCACACATGTGGAGCTGTGGAATGTTTGTTTTTTTTAAAAAATTAGTTTTAAAGGTGCTATTTTTGAGCAGGATGGTGGCCATCTTTAAAAATGCCTTGCTTAAACGCAAATTAACATCGGAGCATTTCCTGCATGATGTAATGATTGAACTCCAAAGGAGGACAAATGGTGTTTAGGCAATAATTCACATTGTGGGGGGAAAAAATACACTTTATTGCTTGTAAACTGCTTCTTTTTTTTGAGAGAGAGGGGTAGGGGTTTCTCAACATTGTTAACTCTCCGGGTGCACGAGGGGCCTGCAATGCTTCATGCTGAGAGATGGGGGTTTGCATGTTGAAGATAGAAAGCGGATGTTTTTAAAGGTCAGGAGGGAGTGGAACTTGTGGAGGAAAAAGGTAAAACGAGTAGGGGGGATTAGATGTGTGATATTGAAGTTAAAAATGTAGGATGGCTGCTAAGCAGGGTTGCTGGTACAGCAGAGGCCAAACATATTTTCAATTTAAGATTTGCAAAACAAATCCTAGTTTCCTAGCATCATATTGGCTAACTATAACTGTTCTTTTGCTCCAGATCACATCTCATACACATTTTACTTCTGCAGTCTAAAAAAAAACATTGTTAACCCCTTCGCAATAGACGACATGCCAGAGCCATCAAAATGCTATCGGATTTCCCCAAGGTTAGCAGGACTGTAGCCAATAAGCTTCCCATTGTTTACTATAAGAATATCAGACTGGCTGTCGTTATGGGTAGGACATCTTCCACAGTGAACTTAGCATGTTTATTATTTTACATTTTTCCTCTGAGGGATAACGTGTTTATAAAAACAACAAAAAAAACGATTTAACATTAGCACAAGTTCTAGGTCACATTACAGCAGCCCTGCTTGAGTAGAGGATTATGGGAATTCTGTGCTAGAGCATTGCAAGCCCCTTACTGGTACTTTAAAGGGTGAACGGTCACATCCCAGTATTTTTTAATATTATGTTAACGTATCCATGTAGTTAAAAAATATGTATTTGCGAGTTGTTAAAATTAACACACCTTTTTAGCCAGAAGCTGGGGGTTTATTTAAATATAAATGTAAAGGATACAGGTATTAACACTAAGTGGTTTGAATGTTTTTCCAGAGAAGTGACAGTCCCCCTTTAAGCCAGTTTGGGTTATGTTTAATATGATAATAGGTGACTGTTCGCAGATTGTTCTGATGGCATGGCCACCACTGTCTAAGCCAGTCCTCATGATGTGCAATCAGGAGTTTTACGTACCCTAGCTCAACCTTTGCTGATAATCTGTAATTTTATGATCAGCTTCTTCTATTAGAAATATGTACATCAATGTGGGGCTTATTCTTTAAATTCGGATTTGTGGAAACCTGACAAGGGAGTTGAACATTTAGACTAAAAAAGTTGAAAAATCCCACACGCTTATCATTACCATTAAGCTATTTGACCTAGGCTGTATCTTTGTCGTCTCCTCAATTACCAGTACAGTGGATGAACAACGTACTCCTAATGTACTGAACTTACATTGTACAATGAACCCATTGAAAGCCGTCACTCTAATAAGGGGACTATTAATGCTAAATTGATATTGCAATGAAAAATGTGAAACGAAGGCTGGATCTTCCAGATACAGACCTGTATTAGAAGACATTAGAAGACAACTACAAAGCACTAGTGGGACTGTATCCCCCTTATACTCTTGTTAAACCAACCCTGCTCAAATTTCCATTTTAAATATCTTTGCCTAAATGCTTACCTTTAATCGTTTAACTTTCTGTAAAATTTAAATTAAGCATGGCCAGTTTTTCTGGACATGACAGGGGCAGCTATAATATGCACTAAAGAGTTTATTTATTAATCACATTTTTACATTATTTTGGACAAAAAAGATCAATTTAGTGTTTAGTCACTAAACCCTAAAGTCTAAAATGTAGAGTAGTGGTGGCTTGTCTTGGCGTCCCAATTGCTTTTAAACTATTTGCTAGCCACCAATACCAGGCTCGTTTGCAAAGGCCTCTCTCTCTCTCTTAGACTACTGTGCAATGCTACTCGTTCAAGGTGCACCAACACAATCAGAGCCTCTCGAACAACTACTTGCTTTCTAAATCTGCAAAAAGTGTTCTAAGCAAGGATCCAGTTTCTCTTTATATTTTAAAAACATTTTGTTACAAGCATATCTCTCAATTTCAATAACCGGCGAGAGGTTAACATGTCCCGTCCCCCTCTCTTTCCAGAAGCTCAGCAGATTTGTATATAGAAACTAAAAAGGTGCTTACAACACTAACTTTTGTTGAACAACGTGTAAATATTTTAGAGCACTAAGACGCATGTGTGAGTATTTGGAGATTGTGTTTGCAAATGTTTTCTGCATGAGCCGAGTGTTCATTTTTTAGCTGCTTCGGTTCAGATTCACGGCTGTAGGATAAATGAGCATTATCCTCTTTGATTTAAAATGGAGTTGAAAACATTTCTGATGGGTTGGTGTGCATGTGTTGGCAATTTAAAGTGTGTGAATTGTTAAGTGCTAGTGATGTTGTTGGTTTTTTATGCATCCGAATTGTATGGGGTTTTTTAATGGCAAGACCCTACTATTGGCATAATCTAAAAAAATTAAATACAGCAATGTATCTTGTCAGATTTCATCAAAATTTACTTTTGAGTATTTTCTTTGCAAATGAGCTTTGTTCTGAGCTGTCTGTCTTAACAGAAATTATACATTTTGTTTTATAACAGAGGCTTCGGTGGCATATTTAAAGGGCCAAGAATGTCCTTATATAAATGGTTTGAAATTAATTTAACTCTATATATGTAAAAATGATGCAGCCTGCACGTCAAGCATTTTACGTTTTTAAGAATCCTATTCTTGGTCATTGACCAGGAAATCCACAGACAAGGATTAAAGAAACACTCCAAGCACCATAATCACTACAGTAAGTCATTTCAATGGATGACCCCACCTCTGCCCACTGTCTTAGAACAGTTTGACTTCATAAGTTGGCTCCGCATGGCAGGGCTTAGCTCTTTAGCTGGACCCAATCAGCTCACGGGAGCTCCTGCTTAGGAACATTCGACTCTTTGGCGTTGCGAAGTGGAGTCATGGAGCAGCAGCCGGCGGACCACAATCAAGAAGCCAAACTGTTCTAAAACGGGGGGTGGAGGGTACAAGGCAATTCTGGCACCATAACCACTACAATTTATGGTGCTTTGAGTGTCCCTTTTACTAATGGCAGTCCCCACTCTACTGAAAATGGAAGACTCATAAGATAATAAACGTAAAAATGTGCATGTTCCATCACTGTCAAAATGTTCTCTTAAATATTAGCACAATGTATAGCATTACTTGAAATGAATGCCAGTTTGTCAAGGTGCCTTGGAAGAGGTCCTAGATAAAATGTATCATTGAAGAACTTTTGCAGATTACAGTATTTATAGCTATGCGATTTGCCAATTATGTTTTTGGTTCTAAATGAAAGCTTCAAATACAAGCATTCTGTAAAGCGGTATAGCAAATGCTCAAAAGTGACTTTTGTATGAAATCTAACCTTTAGATTTCTAGAGTCTTCTAAAACATTTAACAATGACCTACTATGTACTTCAAGTTAAACAGTTGTTTTTTTTTTTTTTTTATCGTGTTAGCGTCCATTTAATGGAATATTTTAGCTCTATAACCCTTTCAGTGCCAGATGTTTTGCCAATCAACCCTCCCTGACTCTGCTAGGTGTAAGACAT